TGTGTATATATATATGTATGTATGTCAGTTAAACTAAGAAGACTAAATATGTGAGAAGATATGAAGGGAAAAAAGGAAGGTTCATATACGAATACAAAATCTAATTGAAGATGTATGTGAACCAACGTTACCATGCATCTTCAAATAGTTTTATTCAATGATTCACATATGAATATTTTTTTAACCTTCTCTTAGCTTCTTAATTAAACCTTCGATTATATAATAAGGTCAAGTTTAGGGAAAAAAACCACAAAAAAAAAATGAAAAACTAAGAAAAACTCTGGTAACCATTCATCTGGACAGTATGCACATGTGCATACAAATAACTTGTAATCAATTTGTCAGGTATATACACGTGCATTAAAACTAAGAAACAACTTTAATTACTTGTATGAACATGTGCATATCGTTCGGAATGGTTATAGGGTGTTTCTTAGTTTTTCAATTTTTTACAATTTTAATGTTTTGTTTTGTTTTATTTTATTTATGTTTATTGAAATCAGTTTTTTCTGATTATCAGGGTTTGTCCCTTAGAATGTTAAATGTGAGATTTTGAATTTTGGGGGTCCAAATTTACATATGCTTAGGACATTTTCATCATTCTGTGTAAAGCTATAGTCCAAATTGTTTAAGTTCAAATTGTTCATTGCTTAGGTCTAGATTCAAATTATTAATGGTTTAGGTTTAGGTTAAGGTTAGGTTCAGATTGTTGATGGTTTAGGATTAGCGTCCTTTTATGCTTAGCATATATGTATCGTTGTTATGCAATGTCATTTAAGGTTTTGGATGTAACAGGGCCTCCAAAAAGATTGAAAGGTTACTGTTAGATTATATACCATTGATGAATCTATAGGTTAGAGGAAGAAACACAATATTGTCTGCAACTCTTAACAACATGTTACCATTAATAACCGATCGTTTTTGGAGCGGATGTGACCCATTCGCAACCAGGGGAGGATTCGGGCCCTCTGTCGCTGCTGTATGTTGCTATTTCGATCTTTTTTTAGCAGTTTTTCTAAGAGATCATCTTCTAGTTACCGATGAACCCACCCGAATTGATTCTATTTTATTGGTGGTCGCGTCAATGGATTGGCCACATGTTACGAATAATATAGAGCATTGATGTCTTCACAGCCTCATAGACAGGAAATCATCGAGGATCTCTACACAACATATACTGATGCGCAACGAGGATTAGTTCATGCGGGCTTGATTAGGTGTAGTTGGTTACTGATTTTTTTGGTAAATGTCAGGTCTACATATATTCATGACCCCACATTTGGATGGGATATATTTGTTTGGTTCGGTTTAGTATTCTGTCTTTATATTTATAGATACCATCTTATAGCCTTCAAGAACGCAACTGGACACAAGCCTCATAGGATTATATTTTATAGGTTGAATCTTTTACTCCCACTTTCCTTCAACCAATTTTAGTGGCAGTTTAGTAAACGCTTACCGGGTAAGAGTTTATTAGCAAAAATCACCATTCTCAGTTACCTTATTGGGTGACATTCTCGGCCTTTAAAATGGATTGTTGGTAAGCGTATTTTATCCCTAACAGTAGGGTTTTTCCTAACTTGTCGGGTAAGATTCTCGATTCTTGTCATGATTGCTGGTAAGATAAATGACACCTCGTAAGCATTTACCCGGTAAGTGTTTGGTAAATGGACATGGAAAAACCAAAAAGAAAATAAAAAACTGATGATCACCCTGACGGTATACATATGTGCATACAAGTAATTGAAGCTCTTTCTTGGTTTTTATGCATGTGTGCATGTTATGCACATGTTCATACCAGACAAGTTGTTCAGTTTTTAATTTTTTTTTTTTTTTTTTGTGGTTTTCCCTTGAACCTTTGCTGATCATGGACTTGTATTCGTTCTCCATTTGTTAATTGTTATCAGGGACTGTTGTTGATACGGAAATATGTCATCCTACTGAATTTGATTTCTACTTGTGTAGCCATGCTGGTATTCAGGTAAAGTAGAATTCCCATTTGCTGGTTGTGTTTTCTTTCATTACTTCTTTGGATAATCTGATATTTGTGCCAAAAACCGAAGCCGTGCAACGCATTACCATGTGCTTTACGACGAAAACAAGTTCACTGCCGATGGGTTAGAGTCGCTTACCAACAACTTGTGCTCACGTATGTCACTAACCCACGCATATTTCTTATTATGTTTTGTTTGGAAGTTGTTTGTTATCGATCTGATGAAGAAACTATTCGCATTTCAGGTATGCTTAGGTGCACAAGATCCATCTCCGTAGGTATGCATTCGATCCGACCTTTTGGATTTTCGTCAATTGGGTTTGTTTTGATGAATAGTTTTGATGGTTTTTAATTACCATCGACCATTATTACGTATATCAATGTACTGGTTCTTTGGATAAATGACCTAAAATGAGTCATGTTTTGGATTTGTTCTTTTTGGCAGTTCCTTCAGCATATTATGCACACTTGACTACTTCTCGTGCACGTTCTTACACGGAAGGCATGGTGTCGGAGAGTGGATCTGCAGCGGTTGGCAGGGCGACGAGAGAAAGGAAGGCAGAGATTCGACAACTCCCGATGATTCGGGATAATGTTAAGGCAGTTATGTTCTACTGTTGAGTGATGATGACTTGTGTTTTGGTGTGGTAGGGTTTTAAAGGTCTTGTGGTTCTTTTGGTAGTTGATGAAACATCTTTTAGGGGCTGTTTGACAATTGCTGAATGGTTTGGTGCATAATGATTAAGAGGCTCTCATGATATAGTGCAAAATGAAATATAATTTTTTGGTAATTGTGTACAATGAAATTAGGGCTCTTAATGGTTATGGGAGATGTAGGATACAAAATCATTCAGAGAGTTTTAGAACCATTAAGAGGCAGACTTTTTTTTTGCCAAACAAGATTCACCCCTTAACGATTCAGAGGTTATCTCTTAATTGAACTATTAAGAAATAAACAAACAACCCATAAACTTCTTTGTTGAGGTTCAGTTTTGGTATTTTGGTGGTAGGATGTTGGTATTTGGTTATGACTTATTTGCATGAAATTCCCATATTTGGTATAAAAGTTTCAAATTTCTGTCTCAGCATATCTTTATTTGCTGAGAAATATTTTAGATGTTATAAATCGTGAAAATTAGTTTTATGTATTGCCGATGAATTCGATATAGATTATATGTATGAACTTTTCAAAAGAATGTGATTATTGGATCTGAATTTGTGCAAAACATTCTTTGATGTTTATGAACACTCACGTACAAATTAATTTTCACGGTTTGTTACATTTACGTAATAGTACCTAAATAAGAAAATGGTCAAATTATATATATGAGGTTTTATAGTAAATTGACGTATAATTCACGCAACTTTTCATGCACCATATTTGACCCTCAATCTAAAATCAAATGTGATTTTGTACCTAATTTGGTCATTTTCTTATTCATATATCATTCTCGTATGAACCTACTTCTCTCTCTCTCTCTCTCTCTCTCTATATATATATATATATATGTATACACACACATAGATTTGGGATCACGTGAGACCAACATGTTTTCATGAGATCCGTGAGACCGCATTTTTACACTTAAAACTTCAATTCACACTAAAACGTTGTGAAGGTAACCTTCATAGTGTTTTTGTTGTGAAGGTTCGGCTTTTTTTTTTTTACCTTCATAGTGTTTTGTTGTGAAGTTTTAAGTGTAAAAAAATGGTCTCATGGATCTCACGAAAACAAAGTGGTCTCACGTGAACCTAACCCTACATACACACACATATATATATATATATATATATATATATTAGAAGTGTAAATGCCTGGTTTAAGATAACGTATGATAGTCTTACGTAACCAATTTAATGAAATATTTTGTTATATTAGTAGAATTCTAACACTTTATCTTTTATTTGAATATGTTTATCATTACTTTTATAACATTCAAATATATTGCAAATGTTATATAATATTATGAAATACTGTATCACATGTAAATATATTTATGATTGAAATTCTAAAAACAAAATCAAAAAATATATACCTTACAAATTAAATATAATAAATGTAAGATTTTTATATAATTTATCTAATTAAAAAATTAATTACATTTAAAATTAACTTCTATTCTTATTTTTGTATTACATGAGGTAAGATTGGAATATTGAAATTAAAAGATTTTGCATACATTTTTTATTTATATATAATGTTTTAATGCTTGTATTCTTTAAAAATTCATAGAAAGAAATCATAACTAATAGGCATGTTCAAAAATCCGACCAACTCAATATGAAAAAACCCGATGTCTAATCGAATTACAAGAGGTATTCTTCAAACTGTAGGTATTAGAATTGAGTTGCGTCATTTGAATCCAACCCAACCAGATGAATCCACTATCCTCTTTTTTATTAGATTCGATATGATTATTAAGTCTACATTAATATACACATTACATAATTATACCGTCACACATACATCTTCATATACATATATCTTCGTTCTCTTCTCCATCTCTATATAACTCTTTTGTATATATATTCATTAAATGTGAACATGTATATACAAATTGAGAAAAAAGTAGTTGAATGTGATATATTTAAGATTTAAGGACTCTTTAGGTTAGGTTGATCAAATTCCTTCAACCCGTTCAACACAATCCATGAACACCCCCTGCCCCTAGTAGCTCGTCGACATGGAACTCTAGCATACACAATGGGAAAAAAAATGCGCAAACAGAAAGGCAAAAAAGAAAAACGAAAACTCGAAACCATAAATTTTACAATGAATATATATATATATATATATGTATATATATATTTCGTGTATATACACATTTATAAGCTCCGTATAGGAGTGTATGTTAAATGGACCTGCCTGTTGCTATTTAAATAAAATTTGTACCATGCACCATTTAAAACAAAATAAACAATATTTTCTTTTCAGAAACTAAGACAACGATAAACCATGAGATTATATATATATATATATATATATATATATATTAAACTCTAGTGATCATAAATGTAGCATGGAAGCAAGGACGATGATGGTAGTCAGCCTGTAAAGTGTACCATAGGGACCATAATGTGGGATCCTTGTTGCAGAAGACACATTAACAGGTGTTCTACCTATAAAAACATCATTAAGAATCTTCAAACATCCACTCTTGTTTGCATTACGTTTTAGAATATATGGAATCTCATCAGCTTACTCTCCAAAAGAGTCTTTAAAAAGATGGAAAAGGTTCAGTAGAGGAGAAAAGATCTGGGTCTAGTTCATTGTCTATGATACCATGTGAGAATATGTCGAACCCCGGGTTAATCTCCAAACAAGATGAGAAGGGAGGTTCCACATATTCACATTTTGTACCTGTCTAGCCTGCATTAGAGTGGGCGTGCTGGAGTCCCATATTGGCTAGACTTAGACCATTAAATATATTGAAAATTACTTGAGGTTCCACATATTCTCAGAGTCAGAAGCTGACAATCAAAAGAGGACTTACAGTCGTGGTCTGCCCATCCGATCCGTTGACCACCTATGTCGTAAACCACACTCTTGTCTTTCAAAACAAGGTCTACACGAAAATAAGAAGGCGTTAAAAGGAAACACAACTCACTACAACAAAATTGGTTTTATAGGACGCCTAAATTGTCTAATCGTCTTAATATAATACTTTATAGAAGCTGGGTTTATAGGACCAAATGATAAAGCATCTTATCTAAAATTGTTACAATAAGTTCATAGGACGCTTTTAGGCGTTTTAACAAGTTTTTTAGGACGCTTATAGAATAAAGTGTCCTAGTAGCTATTTCATAGAACACTTGTGTTTATAGGACACTTTTTCAGAGAGTGTCATATAAAATAGTTAATACGACACTTTATTTTAGAAGCATCTTAAATAACTTGTTAAAACACCTACTACAAACCTATCGTAACACTTTTTCAGAGAGTGTCGTATAAAATAGTTAATACGACACTTTATTTTAAAAGCATCTTAAATAACTTGTTAAAACACCTACTACAAACCTATCGTAACACTTTCAGATAGGACGCTTTATAGTTCGGTCCTGTAAACCTAACTTCTTAACTATTCTATTAGAACGACCAGACAATCTAGGGGTCTTATAAAATCAATTTTGTTATAGTGACTTATACAGAGAACATGAATATGGATTTTTCTTCAAGTGTTGTTGCTTATATACCTCCTAAAATCGTCATTCCTTCAGCATCTACCTTCTGAAACCCGATGCACCATGCCGATTGACCGTCCTGAGCAGATGTAATTCGTGTTCAAGTTAGCAAAAGAGCTACAGAAATGCAACATTAACTTGTTTTCCAATTAGGAAAACAAAAACAAAAACTTAAATGGTAATCTTTAGCATTGCAATACCACAGTTTTCTGTGGCAAAAGGTAGTTTTGAGGTTTTAAAACCATTGTAGCATCACCGGCAAAAGTCAAGTGGACAAGCGGAAATGCCTCAGCGAGTCTGAAATGATATAAAAACGATCAAACAGAAGTACTGAAATCCTTAAGAAGCCATGAATTTTTTCAGATAAGAAAGAAACCTAGTGGAAGTTATAAAACATTGATATCCCTTTGCATCAAAAGGCTGGACAGATGGAGCAACAGACTTTGTAATCTGCAGTAACAGAAGCAATACTAACATTATGCAGAATCAGTAGTCATCAGGAGCAATACATATACATATATAGGGACCTTCTTCTGAGAACTCTCTAATTTGTGAAATCTTTGAGAACTAGTGTATTGTGTGCTATTTCAAATGAATTTTCATCTATGAATAAAATCTATTGTAGTGATTAACATTATTTGTTTCACAATGTGGTTGTTTCACATGTACTCCGTTGACAATGTGAAATTTTTGGTGTTTTTGTGAAAAAAAGGATACACTTAAAAAAGTTTGTGAACCGAATACATATGACACAAACACATTGTGAAACAAATATACGTTAATCAATACATTAAATACTATACTTAAATGGAAAAGAATCATGTGAAGCAAAACCTTAAGGTATAAGTTCTCACGGATCTCACTAATTTTGGAGTTCTCAAATGATATATATATCTATAACACATCGCTCTTTTTCTTGAAGTATATAATATTTTTATACGAGAAATACTTAGACACCCTTTTCCCACCTTCGGTGAGGTTTGAATCCATAACCCCCCTGAGGAGTTATCATCATAAATTAACGACATGGAGAAAAAAGTTTTACCTTTTAGCCCCCAAGAAACTTTTTTCTCACAAAGTAGTCAAGAAACTGCAAGTCAACTCTACAACACACTTTTTCTTGCAAGTTTCTGACCTTTTCTGACACACCCGGATGGAAAGTGAGCCCACCGCAAAATAAACTGAGACACTGCAGCTTGCGACATCGCAAGAAAAAGTGTCTTGCGATGTTGACTTGCAGTTTCTTGGCTATTTATGAGAAAATAAAATGGTGGCTATAATGTTAAAAAATTCATGAGGTGGTCATTTAAGATGATAACCCCCTCCTAAGAGGCCGGGCTAACCCAAGTACCGCGAGGCCACAGACCCTTTGGTAACTGCACATTGCCCTTCTGTACTTACAGCATCGACAAAAGGTTTGTAGGCCTCTTCTGTTAGGTATGCAAGAGTTGTTCCAGAATCAATTATGGTTCCTTTTCGGTTGTTTTTTGTTCCAAAAACTGCAGGATCAATCGGCAATATATGGCCGTTCACAGAAATACTCAGCAGGTTTAGATTGTAATGTGGCCTGCATTCACCACGTAATGATCAAATGAAAAAAATTAAAATACATAAACAATTTGCAATTTTCAACTATAACTGTTTATGATTTATAGCGGAGATTTTGAACACTTCAAATACAAATCTTTTAGATAGCCATTTGCAATTTTCAACTAAAAAACGTTTCTTTTTCACATATTAAGCAATCAAGATCTAATTCCATGCTGGGTTATTTAGCTGAATGACTTATTGTCAAGAGCATTTTATATCCACAACCTTCTAACAAGTTTTTAGGCATTCTTGTGTATAGAAAGTGACATTTTTAAACCTGTCTGAAAGTCATGGATTTAAAAAACCGTGATAGAAGGTCATTTAACCAAAGAGTAAGGACCGTTGCATACTCAAGGTAACATGAGAGGGGCTGACGAACCCAGAAAATGGGTTTTTTGGTTAATGATCTTCTGACAAATTTCTTTTAAATCCCATGACCTTCTGACATATTTGAGAATGATACCGCTTCAAAAGAAGAATGTCACTTCTATATACAAGAATGCCACTTAAACTTGAAATAAATTAACAGTCCCCTGAAAATCCCATAAAAGAAAACTTACTGTGATGGGACAAGTGGAGAATAGACCATTTTTGGATCAATTATCTGACCAAAGACTAAAATACCTCCTCCATCACCACCACCAATAAGACAATGTGAGAAAGAGTTTGGAGCTTCCCCTTCTGAAGCAAGTTGTGAGATAATAGATAAGCCTTGCTGACCAAACCCAAAGATCCCATCAACCGCTCTTTCGGAACTGGACAGCTCTCCAGATTGAGATGTGCTACAACTGTTTCATAACACAGCTAGGTCAACAAGGGTTTCACTAAGAAACTGTTATGGGTTCGTTTGGGATGCCGACAGAACTGGAGATGACCACCACAACAAAATTGATTTTATAGGATGCCTAAAATGTAGAAGCATCCTAAAAAAGTACTTTACAGGACTCATGTTATAGAATCAAACCAAAAAGCGTCCTATCTACAATTGTTCCAATAGGTTTATAGGACGCTTTTAGGCGTTTTAACAAGTTTTTTAGAACGCTTTTAAAATAAAATGTCGTATTAACTAATTTTATACGACACTATTTGAAAAAGTGTCCTATAAAAAGATGGGTTTATAGGACACTTATCAAAAATGTCTTATAAAATAGCTAATAGGACACTTTATTTTAAAAGCGTCGTAAAAAACTTGTTAAAACGCCTAACAACATATAAACCTGTTGTAACGGTTTATAGTTTGGTCCTATAAACTTAAGTTCTATCAAGTATCTATTAGGACGGTTAGACAATCTAGGCGTCCTATAAAGCCAATTTTGTCATAGTGGACAGGACAAGAAAAGACGAAAGTGAGGTTTTAAGACTTTAATTTGGCATGGGTATGGGTAGTTTAGTAATCTATTAATTTTGTCTCATTTCCCTGGTTTTTGTTCAACCTATTATGGTGGGGCAAAAAAAACAATTTTTGTCCCACTCAGGTTGAGTCTTGTTTTAGTCTAATGTCTCGCCAAACATGTGAGGATAAGTTTTTGTACTGTCTTGTCCTGTCCTGTCCTATCCCACGTACTAAACACTCCAAGGGCCTATTGATATGGCAAACTCATTACTAACTCACCCAAACAAAACTGTGGATGAAGTATGTGATAATAGGCTTGTCTCATCAGAGTACATTTCCAATTCGATTTTATCAGATACAAAATAACCGGATGTTGCACTACCATCTCCATATTTGAATGTGTAATTGCAGTGGGTGTTTGTAGTGGAACAAGTAGCAGCAGAAGAAGATTGGATTCCCACATTACACCTTGCATCATAACAGGAGATCCAAGTAGATGTTGCAGATTTTGAAGGGTCATAAAATTCAATTGGTATCTGTTGATAGAAGAAGAAAAAATAGTGTCTCCAATTAGTAATCCACAAGTCAACCAAAATGAATCATATATAGTACTACAAATGAGGGCAAGTCTAACACTATACATGGAGTCCACTTGATGTAGGGCAACCTTTGCAGTCTTTGCAACTGACCCACAAAACATCACTTCCGGTGTCAACTTGTACATGATACTCCCTTGGAGGAGAACCCAAAAGGACTTTTGTAAAATAAAGCCTACATAGACAAATAGATATGATTTCACAAAATAAAGAAACTTGCAAATTAAGGAAGTGTCATCTTTCTCATCAAATAAGGAAAAAGATTGCATCCCCTCCTTTTTCCTCCTAAAAGTCCAAAAGCAAAGCAATAATCTTTTCCTTTTATTCTCATTTGGGAATTGAAGCAAGTAGGGTCAGATTCAGGTTCGGGAAAACCACAAAAAAATGAAAAACTGAGTAACACATTGGTAACTGTTCATCTGGACGGTATGCACATGTGCATACAAGTAAATTGTAAGCAATTTGTCCTGTATGCACATTTGCATAACATGCACACGTGCATAAAAACCAAAATTCTGCTTGCAAATTACTTGTATGCACATGTGGACACCTTCCGGATGAATGGTTACCAAAATCTTCCTTAGTTCTATATTTTTTTGGTTTCCGCTGCACCTCCCTAGAAACAAGTAATATCAAAGGAGACAACCCATATATACAGTTTTCATGTTTTAAATGAAGAGATATTTCTCAAGATCAAAAGATAAAGATGAAATAAATCAAGAAACTACCCAACACGATAAGGATCATAAGTGCCTTGAAGTGGGAAGTCAATAATATCTTCACTCAGCAAGATTCTAGCGTGTCTTAAATTATCTCTATGTCTGAGTTCGCTCAACTCCATTTCATTGTCGTGTGGAAAAACTCTCTCCAGCTTAAGAGTCGCCGGAGACTTACAAAGAACAACCACCCCCTGCAACAACAAGGCCACCGCAATGCCGGACAACCTCAAAGTTGCCGGACTTCTGGAAATAAAAGAATCCCACATCCCTGCTTTATCCTCCCTCCTACCTTTTTTCTTTGAGGCCTTTTATCAAACAACAAATATGCAATAAAGTGTTAATCAATTATACACACACAATGTGCATGTAAGTTGCATGGATTGTATAGATAAAATTACAGGAAAAGATTAATTGAAATGAGGGGGAAGAATTCCGTGGAAGGATTCATTTAGAGGGTTCAAGAAATGGATTACATTGGAGTGATGAAATGTGAAATCCATATTCGTTCTGTAAAAATCATTGGTGTTGGATGAAGGATGACAGCAACCCCTAAATTTGAAAAGGCCGCGATATCACACCCACCAATTTTTGCTGAATACGATAAAATCCCGTTTCGGTTTCCTAAAAAATTTCTCGCCATGGATGCGTTCTGGTTTTGTTTCTTGGATTTGCCTTTACAAGGAGTTCGCTCTTGCTACAATCTCGCCTTACGGTAAATTACATAAATGGTCCACCAACTATTGATCAAGTTTCATTTTGTATCTACAGATTCTTAGGAGCCGTTTACCCGACGTTTACCCGGGTAACCGCTTACCAAGTCACGTTACCTTACCAAATGAATATGACAAAGACCAAGAACCTTACACGGTAAGAGCGAAGGCAAAGGACCGAGGAGTCTCTTACCATAGTTAGCGCTTACCAGGTAAATTGTTGTACACAATGTCGTTTTGGTGGACTAAAAACTTACCCATAAAGCAAGTGATAATGTTAAATTTTACCGACAAGTATTTATCAGATAAGTGTTTGGTAAAGGGCCCTTAGTTTTATAGTTACAGTCCTTCAAACTAAATCATTTCGTCTGTTTAATTCCTTTTTGGTTTGTTCTATTTCCTGGAAAAATATGTCTTATCGTTTTTGATTAAGAATAAGGAGCCATTTACCAAACACGTACCCGGTAAGTGCTATTGTTTTGGAATGCATTGCAATGACTCGTAACAAACTAAAAATAACTTAATTTTTTACGGGATGTAAAGAGCTAACAAATATAGACTAACCTCAAACCAATCAGACACCACCCTTATGGTTCTCGAGTGGTATTTTTGTGCAAACTGTATTTGAATTTGTGTATTCAATAATTTATTTTCTAGTAAGAAACCTTGTATGGTTGATTTAAATTGAAGTAATTGTAGCATTAGTAAATATAGAACCGGCTGCTTCATATTTTCTTGTGGGTTGAGGCATGGTTGGTAGTATTCAAATGAGCTTTGAAAATCGGAAAAGGTGGTCTTAGTGTAATTTATCCAAAATAAGAGGGTGATATATAACAATTTAAGAAAGTTAAGGGGTACAATTAGCAAATCCCAGATACCTCCTTTCCCTCCTTTTCTTGAAGACTTTTAAAAGTGTGGACCCATGTCAATTTTACATTTTAACCTGCAATTCACCAATGATTTGGATTTAAAAATATATATATATATATATATATATATTTTTTTTTTTTTGAGGGGTCTCCCCCCTCCCTATCAAAAAAATATATCTTTTAACCATTAACGTGGTGTTTGATTGGTTTGAGTTTGTACTCTAAAGATCAAAATGTTTGGAGATTTCAGGTTTAAATTCAAGAAAAAATAAAAATTCTCTTGTGACTTCAAATGCAATGACATGGGTAGTCGTCCTGAGATTAGTCGGCTAGTATAACGGATTGGATATCCAGATTAATATAAAAAAAGTAATTCGTCTTACAAAAAATGATTATGAAGAATATAAATGTTTATTAATCAATATCTTTATTAAAATATATTGCTATTTAATGAAATGATAAAATAGCAAAAATTATTATTATTATTAAAATATTAACGACGTTTTTGGATGTTTATTTTAGCGGTCGAAGTTGAAAAAAGAACTTTTGTTTTAAAAGAAACACACTTTTTGTGTGTTACGGTCAGAGTTTACCGATAAAACACACTTTCGTTTTATCAAGACAACACACTTTTTGTGTTCTAACCAAGAGCATGCCGATCCCAAAAATGTTGATTCATTGATTGTATAATTGATTCAGTCAGAGGAATGAAAATGGGAATGAATTTCTATTCCCTCAGTTTAACCTAGAATCAAAATTTAGGCTTATGAGGAAATGGATCCATTATATTATATAAAACCAAACAGTTTCTTTTATTTTCATTCACATTAATTACTGCCTAATCCCTCTAACTAAACACCCCAATAATGAACCTCCTTATCTGATTTAAAATGTAGAAATAAGAAGAGTAGAAAAAGAAGAGGCAAAACAAAACTTTTGATTAAAAAAGACATTGATACAATATCTGAGTTGAGATGCAATTTCGCATTCAGTATCGTTTTCTTATGGGAATCAGAGTGTCTGAAATCAAATAGTTCGTGTCATTCTGCTGAGTACAGAAAGCCACTTCAATTCACATCATTCAAATCTGATGAATGCAATAAGTTTGTCGAAAGAAATCCATTGGTAGCATCGCCGAATTGACATTTACCACCAGTCATTCTTCTTCTAGCAGAAGTGAAGTACATGATAGAAGTGAAGACAACTCGTCTTTCGTTGCCAATCCAAAACCTTGCCAACGTATTCTACCAAATTTGTCGAGCAAGAGCATGTAACTGTACAATGAAGAGTTTATTTGAGGGTAAAAATATATCTCATAAAGCTAATAAGTTGAAAGATACAAGAGAATGAAAGATTAATACCCAGTTAGAAGGTTGAGTATTTTTAGTTCTTTTCTGAAGTAATAATGGTCGCCAAAAGCATATGCCATTCGTCTCTGCAAGACACCATCATTTTCCTGGGGTTTTGACTTCTTCAACATGCGAATCAATAGCTTCCTTATCGGGGTCAGAGATAACAGCCACGACTCGATGAAGGATATCTGAAACAGAAAAAACTTATGAGTTTGGTGGCACACCCTATGCTCCTCAAGTTCTGAATCGCCTTAGCGTATTCACCAAGAAAGGCTCCATGGTGCACTAGAGCCATCCATGGTTAGTAGGTTCTCAAATATCCTTAGATCTCCCTTTCTTTTAGTATTACCAAAAATATTCTAGAGTACTCTTGATACTTGAAGTAGGGTAGCCAATTTTCTAGCATATAGATGTACCTAGAAGGTTCCTATATTTAAAGTGATATTGTAATATAGAAGCATTCCTATAGAAGTATCAATGTAGTAAAGTGGACTTAAGGATGACCAAAGATGGGAGTGTGTGGAGAGATGCAAATTTATGGTGTACCCATCTAGGCATGCACTCCACTTTTATCATCTCTACCGCCACGCTCCCACTTTGATAATATTAGGATTATGTTAGATTTAGCTGAAAGAGACAATAACATCCTAGGGTTATTGTCAATATCTTAACCAATTGTGCAGCCCTATCTGCACTCTAGAGCCTAGATGTATCACACAGTGGCCATCACCTAATATGCACCTACTGGGTCGCCTTCAAAGCATATACCAATAAAAGCTCTGTGTGCATAAGAATTATCTGGGGACTAGTAAAGTTCTTTGAAACGTTTTACCTAACATACTCTTAGAGTACTCTTGATGATTGTAACAGGCTAGATCCTTCCAAAAGTCAAGACTCCTATAAATAGGGCAGGTTTCCCTCATTTGTAACCATCCAAGCTTGAGATATAGAAACATAACAATAAACTTAAAAGTGAGTAGTTTGGATGTGCACCATATAGCATTGATGTGGGTCCAAAATAGACTCCATGCATAATTAATAGACGAAATCAAAAAACCTATGGCCTCTTATTTCATGCATTTTGTGCGTGTGGTTTTGGACGTGCACCATATAGCATTGATGCACTCATGCATGTTACCACCTAATCCTCCCATTTTTGGATTCTATCATAATCTGCAACAATTACCATTTTTCCTTTGAAACCAAACTTCATAAGATTATAGGCTCCCAACATCTCATACTGGATGATAAGTAATGGTGACTACAAGACTGAAACTGAGACCATGGATACACAAAAATAATGACTGTGTAGCATATAAGGTAATTATGTGCGCACACACTATTGCCAACCAACTACAACTAGAGCATCGACGGCCAGCTGTATATCAAAACCCAAAAATAAGTTTCAATGGAAATTAAGAAGGTAAGATATGAAAGGTGTTAATTAAGTCCCAATAATGGAATTTAGAAGACACAACAAATCATATTATGAATCGATAGATGCTACTACAATCTAATACCTCATACAACTGAACTTTCTCTGAGCCACTGAAAGCTTCAGCAAAAGGAACACTCCAAGAATCAATCATTTCCTGTAAAGATATAGTGGAATTTCAGTTCCAGTTCAGTAAACATATAATACGACAATTACTTGTTCCAGGTTAGATATTTGGTAATTCTACAAACAGTTAGAACACAAGCATGCTAATTTGCTAAAGTTTCCACTGGCCTTCCCCCTTAGTAGCCTGACTTCACTCGCTTGTTCCAAGAGTGTAATATTAGTGAGTGGAGAAGAACAGAAACTTCTATCTGCTCCAGTCATCTAGCATCATCTATTGCAAAGGTACACCATCAAGTGCATGAGATACTTATCTCACATCATTAACCAACTACCCAAGTGGTAAAAATCTTATAAGTTCTTATAAGGCAATCAAGAGAAGTGGCAATATATTTCATTTCACCCATGGGCAGAAAATTCCATCACTGTTTTGCTGATGGCCTACACAATAGTTTAACAACTTCAGTAGATTGATCATCAATCTTCTTACTGGTAAAATGGACTAATTATGTTTTCATCTCTCCTAAAGTTTGAATGCTTATCAGTAATCAGTAGGAAGAAAAGAACTACGCCTTTATCAATGTAATATTTACGTCGAATTGTGATTCATATCTCTTATCATACGACATTGACAACTATGTTATTCAATTGCCATCAGAAAACACATCAGATCTTAACAAAACTTGACAAAGATTAAAGTGATTCCTTCTACTAAACCGACAAGAAAAGCAATGACTTTAAAACCTGTGAAGTTGCACGGAATGAAAGACACATCAAAGTTGCTTTCGGGATATCTGCCTTCATTGATTCATCGTCACTTCCAAAAGTAGTGATTGGTAGTTTGAAACTCGTGCCATCTGAATAATTTACTTCTAGCTGAGGGAACTTCACAGCTACCATTGCTGGAATAATAACCTTAGTCGCGGCAGCAATCTGCAAATACATAGCATATGCCAGCAAAAATCACAGACTAGCTTATAAAACATAAGAAGCTAAACATTAAAATAATTCATAAACCAAAACTCCGCTTATTCATCAAGTAAACAACTTATCTTACCTTACCACCATGTTGTTTGAGTTCTGCCATATCTGCAAAATATCCCCTATTCATTTCATCTTTACTGCCCTAAATCACATAAATTTCACAAAAAATTCAACCACATCTTACAAGTTAATCAACTCACGAATCAACACAGTCATTATACAGCATTAAATCCTGAAACTTACAGCCGAGCACGCTCTTTCTCGATCGCATCCTTATTTCCAATCTGCATTCAAATAAGGTTTCATTACAAATTACAACATCGTAACCCTAACACTTTAAGAAATATAACACGCAGTAATTCCCGCTTCACAGCACTATAAAATCACTTTACACGACTTCATTATTGCCTAGGATTCGGTTTCCAGAAATTTTGATTCAAATTAACTTACCTCATAAAAATTGAGAAAGCGATTGGAGGTCAACCGTGTGGGGATGCTGGTTGGTAATAATACTTTATCTTCTTTTGTGAACAACAGCCGTGAACTGAGTGTAATAACCGATCTCGAAGAACTCAATTGCTTCAACCTCAACATCGTCCCGATGGCTCCGTCGCCGATGAAGGCTAAGAATCAGTGCTGGGGGCGGGAGACTGTAATTTGGTGCAGGGTTTTGAGTCTTGCCGTAACGACGAAGCTCGACCCGAAATTACGGATCCGGATCTTGGGTCGATAATTTTCGGGTAGACTTCCGGATGAAGCTCGAACCAAAATTACGGTTACGTACCCGGAAAAGGGACTCGAGCCCAAGTTGTACTTCCGTTCAAGCCCAATCAAACAAGGATTCGTGGGTAGACTAGAGATAGCCACAAATCGGGCCCAGGTCGGGCCTGGTCAAACGGTCTTGATACGGGTCCATAGTAATCGGTCCCAACTCCCGAACAAAAACATTCTGCCCGTTTTCCATGTACAAATCCTGGTCCCTAAAATTGGTCCCAATCTCGAGCCGGACCCAAATTCGTTCCAAATTCTTTTTTTCCAAAAATCAATTTTAAACATGTAAAAAATCGTATTTGAACTTCTTTTTATATAATATCTTATCTAAATACACAAAAATATCTAATTGAGTCATTCAAATACACTTTAAATCTTTCTTCTAAATCTTTTTTCACACAAAAATGTTATAAATGTTTATATAATTATGATTTTTTAAATTTAATATTGAAACACTTAAAAAACTTTAAAAAAACTAAAAAATAAATAAGTTTTTATTAAAAAAAACTTGAAAATCTTGTAGAAATTTGAAAAACTTGATATATAATTTATAAAAACTTTATTTTTTTTAAAAATCGGGCCTATGTATAACCGATCTCGAGTCCAGCTTTGAAATTTCATAAAATCGTAACTACTCCATAAATGGTCCCTATCGGTCCTAGGTAGGTACCGATTTGGGCCAAACCGACCCGGCCCAAGACCATTGTTGGCCATCTCTACTTGCAAGCATGTGTTGAATATTCATTGTTGGGAGGTGATGTAGCTTCCGGCTTATAATTGAAATGGTCAAGTATTTATGTAAAATTAGACCGATAAATCTAGAAAATGCTATCCTTGGAAACCTTTTCAAACTTTTTGGTATTTTTCGTCACAATGGTATTGTTGAAGTTTGCTTGAAATTTTTTCAATATTTAATTCAATTTATCTCTCGTCCCCTCTACACTCTCCTCTGACCACGAGTGGCGTACTTTTTAGTGCTAGCTGAACATAAAGTAAAGGCTCCCACTCAACGGATCAAAGGTGCGCCACTCGTTAGCCTGTACGGCTCTCAAGACAAGTTTTCTTAAATTCACTGCTTTGTCTTCGATGACAGCCTTCCCACCCATGCTGTAAATTGATGCTCTTGGGACTGTGAGAGGGAGGACAAGTCTTTCACCCTCTGGTTGCCTCGTTCCCTTGCTTTAAAAATATCACTAGATTGAGCACCAGTGATTTCCTATCTATAAAAAAAAATACCAAATGCATAATCAATGATTCTTTTGAAGAAAGGAGAGGAACGATTCCCTCGTCTGAGAATCGTCAATCCATGGGCATGGAACCCCACCTTGCAGTGTCCCCCCCCCCCCTCCAATGATCTCGTTCGCTTTGTCCATATTTGCCGTGGACAACCGCCACCCACGCGGTTAAGCACAAAACAGGATTATATGAGAACCCTTGAGAGATACATTGTTTCCATTGTGACTTGGTGCGAACCTTTTCGAAACAAAAGTGGTTAGACTCAGAGGGGAAGATCGGGAAAGTGGAAGCGGCTTTTAAATGAGATATAGTAAGGGGGTTGTTTATCAAATTCTTTTGGGTAAGCGTTGATTGAAAATTATTATATACCAACATTTTGTATTAAATGATGATCAAGGAAAATGACCATTATACCTTCACTGCCGGCTACCCCCGTCCACCTCTACCATGATCACCACTTCCACCGCCATCACCTACCACTATGACCTCCACAACCACCACCTCCACCATCTCCATGTCCTCAACAACCGTTGTCAATCAATATCCTCCTCCACCGACCACATCCACTTCTACCACCACTAGTAACCATTATATAAATTCATTAAACAATATTTATGAACAAGTTGTCCAGTTCTAATCGTGTCAAACACCAGAGAGACAAAGACAACTTCTCCAATTCGGTTCACATACCAAACTCTATCTTAATGATAAAAAAAACAATTACATGATACAAAATTATAATCAAAACCTACAATCCAAAACCTCTTAAAAACCACTTGAACCAATAAGAAACAAGAGCTCTCGATGAGACTCGTTTAACGAAAATAATAAGACGACAATATTAGTAACAAATTTACTACCCGCCATTTGGCTTAATTGGTGAGATTCATAAGAAGACAGACATCCTTGCTATAAAATTGAGTTACAAATGAACACATAAATTTTACTTGTATAATTCCTTCCTCCTGTTGGGAATTCAAGGGAATAAACACATCAATGACTTCTCATAAGTCGAATCTCTCTTTAATTTAAACTACAAAAAGCCTCATTTCCTCCAAAACCAACCCCTTACACTCCACTCCACCCCCCAATTAAATAACACCAATACATAATATACAAACACTACACATAGGAAAAAAAAAAGATCATCAACCAGCAGCTGTGGTACACAATACGCATCGCATCCGAGAGGCACCCGTAGGGGTATCGTTGTCATTTTCATCATCCTCGTCGTCATCAATATAATCACCATTAGTATAAGAGTTAGCAGATTCCCCTTTTTTGGTGGTAATGGAGTTGGTTGAATCCAAAAGACAATTCAAGTGGTACGCATGACAGCAAAAGAATACGATAACTGATGCACCCTGAATGGACAAAGGGTCGAAACAGATGCAACACCTTCCGCCTGCTTGGGTTTTTGATTTACCCTCCATTGATTTCAGGACCGGGGTTCTGTCCATTGGATTACTGCTCCCATTGTCCATGTTTGAACGTGTTTCCTTTTCTTCGTTGCTTAGGTATATTGCACGTCTTGCTTCTTTGTAATATTTGACTAAAAGATTAACGATATCAGCCTGCCAATATCCCGTTAACATATTATCTTATGAGAACTAATTGCAATCAACGGTATTGCTAATTGGAAAAATACCTTGAGTATATCGTTACAACCATGTCTTAGAGAAGTTTCCGTCCTGTAATCAGTGATAATTTTGACTAAACGGTCCCTCAGCCTGAAACGAATGCATCAACATGATCAAATTATTTTCATCATTACAAGACACTGAAAGCTATCAAAATCATGAAATTGATTTTCCGCAAAGAACTCATGGCAACCGCCAAAAAAGAAGAAAAAGTAAACAATGATTATACTAACCGAGGGATCTCCAAGCCATTGGGTACAATATTGACAATATAGAGAGGATCAAGATTGCCGACAGTATGCTCTAACAAAACACCTACCTGCCGAGCAAAGAAAGATGATAAATATTACAAATTAAAACTATTCAAAAACATGACTGATTATGGTTTACGTGTACTTGGACAGTTTGAAGGAGTAAATATTCACCATTTCGGGCTTATTAAGACATTGTCTAATAAGTTCTTCCCACAGGTCGTCATCATGCTGCATACTGACAAATTCTACAGCCTGTAAAATGTTGTGTTAGAACACTTAGAAATACGACCAACAACATTTAAACCCGAAAGAAGAAAAACGGTGGGTACCTCTTCTATATCCCCCTGTTTGTCTATAATAACAGCAAGGGCTTGCTTTGTGTTCCCCATTCTTCCAAGAATGAAAACCTGCTCGCTTAATAGATCCCTCTTAACACAAACTTCGTAGGCCTAAATGTTGGGGACAATGGTGTTAGAATCAAGAAAGAGATCATGAAATATCAGAATTTCGCAGTCATCAACTTTGCCTAACCTTTTCAAGCATGTAATGCTGACTGCTGCGAAGGAAAGGAAGCAGCATCTTTTGATCATACTCCGCATAAAGCTCAACCTGTTTAGTTGGACAGAAGTGTGTGGTTAGAAAATAAAAAAAATGTTGCAGGAACTGGGACTTCCCTACAATAAGTGTTAATCCACCATAGATAAATATCTCTAATTGTAATCATTTCAAGTTTACATATGCTCTAGTGAACCGACAAGAAAAAAATCATAATATCTAGAGTATGCTGATCATAAATGTAAGAAGAGGTCAGGTATGCGTACAACTAATCCCCCCCCAAAAAAAAAAAGACCCCACCTTCGGGTCAGATATACTGGGCTTGTTTGGTTTTATGCTTGTTTTGCGTATTGCTTGTGTCCATGGTAGATCCCTGCCAAGGACGGGTTATTGTAATCATCACTTCTTCTTTTTTGATTAATTTGGATATCCAACCCGTTATGCGAGCCAACTAATCCCAAGGTGACCACCTGCTTTGCCGGTAGCCCGAAGTCACCGCATTTGAACCTCCGTGGCCACAAGGGGATTTTCATTCCTCCTTAGATTTAAACCGGGGACCTCCAGGCACTTTTTGACCTTTGGAGCCCAATCTCAAACCAATCAGGCACCACCCTTGTGGTTGTAATCATCACTTTTTGTTCACGTAATTGAAGCTCAACATAATTCCATACCTTTTTCGGGAGAAAAATTATTTACATAATCATGAATTTTGCTAACAAAGCAAGTATTGTTCTAAAACTATATAATATTTCCTTTGGCCCACAAGAAGTCACCATTTGACTCCACACACAAATTTAATATTACTAGGTGCTTCTGCCACATGATCGAAACACCCTTCAAGTAACTTCAACGGTCAAATAGAAGTAAATTTCATGAACCAAAATGAGGCCCAATTACTTCCATAATCGTTAAAACCAACCTGAACTGACCCAATATACCTCATTCGATGGTAAATAGGTAATGTAACTTCAAATTTTTCCAGAAATAAAAATGATGCAATGTTTGTGAGATGAAGTAAATTTTAGACGTGATCAGTTACCATTTCCTATTTAATATAAAAGCTATTTAAATGCCATCTTCAAACAGCTAGGTGACAAATTGAGGTCCCATTTGGTTTGCAGGATTGGGTTGGATTTGGAGGGATTTGAAATTGAATTCCATTCCAGTCCCATCCCATGTTTGGATCAAAGGATTTCATGGATTTGAAATCCCAGGATTTCATTGAATTCCTATAAACATAGGATTTTGAAATCCCATGGGAGTAGCTGGTATTTCATGGGATTCCGTAGGATTTGTATGCAATAATGTTTTAAAATAAGTAAAAAACATTTGTTTTGCTATAGTCTGATTAATAAAAAGGTAATTTATTATATTTATAATTACTTATAACTTGCTTTTGTAAATCATCTATAGAGAATGGAATTCAATTCAATTCCCAATCTTACAAACCAAACACACCAAAGATTCCAAATCCTTTTAGATCCAAATCCTTCCATGAAATCCAAATCCCTCAAAACCATTCCATCAAAACAAACGCACCTTGAATGTGTATCTTTTTTAAGAATAAATTACTAGTTGAACTTGTAGTGGTTTACACCGTAAAATGATTTAATGTTTTCTTCAATTTTTATGTTTCGGCCATAAAAACTTGTTCATATGGGATGTACGAAGCAAGATTTTTTAAAAGGACGGGTCACTAATGGATCAAACTAACATAATGTTTATACTAAGAAGCAAATAAGATAAAAGAATTCCTGATCCAAACGCTTTCAACATACCTGCATATCATGAAAATCTCTGCCAGCATGAGGGTTGACTTCAAATAGTGAATGCAAATACTCATGCAGATAGTATCTAGAATTGCTTTGCTTTCTTGAAGCCAGAAGTTGGGAAACAACTTCAGCGGGAGTAATCAAGTCCCTGTGCTGGATTAACAGTGCGACTGAACGTTTATGATCAATCAGCATCAGCTGGCCGACCTGTAAATAACATACGGGAGATTCACAGATCAGATGATCAAACAAATGGACAGCAAATATACTTGATATGCCAGTTTGAGAAATTAGAGAGAATTTGGGTACTTTTTACTTCATATAAGATAAGAGAACATGAAGTACAATTTTCTTCTAACATGAAATTTCTCATACTAGTAATAGCACACACCTTCTCACGAATGGCATCATGCAAGCTATGCTTCTCGATAAACTCAAAGATATCTGGCTTCATAAGCTGAAAACGGAATTTAATAAAATGCAAACAAGTTAATGCAAAATTCAAGAAAAATCTACAGCATGATTTTGGAAGAATTATAAAAGCATACATCCTAGGATGCAACTGGTACCGTAGATGGATAAGCGAGCACTTACATCAGCATAAAGTGCAAAAGCTTTCTCATATTGCCCATCATTTTCATAGAGCACTGCCAGTGCCTGAGATAGCAAATAAGCTGAGAGATGTAATATGCTCAATATAGGGAGGTTCAGGGGAAAACCCCCAAAAAATGAAAAACTTAGGAACACCGTTGTAACCATTCATCTATACGATATGCACATGTGCATACAAGTAACTGAAGTTGTTTCTTGGTTTTTATGCACGTGTGCATGTTATGCACATGTGCATACCGGACAAATTGCTTACAAATTACTCGTATGTGCATACCATTCAAATGAATGGTTACCAGGGTGTTCCTCAGTTCTTCATTTTTTCTCGGTTTTCCCCTGAACCTAACCCATGCTTAATATAGCTCAAATACATACATATGGCAACAAAATTACTTGCTCTCACCTCTTTGAGTTCGTCAGTCATGGATGACGTGTTGAGTTGGGGCTCTATAGCTGCAATAACAGGCACTACGGAGTATATTACAGGTGGCCAAGATTTCACAGCAGATAGGAGATCCTTGTGGGAAGATGGAATTGTTGCCAGAGCTACAAGAGCAACCTGCATTTATTAAGCAGGATAAACCATCAGAGTAATCAACGATATGATGCCTGTAAAGTTTATGTTGATCATAAATATCACAAACCTCATAAGCAGTATCACGTAGTACTGGGTTCTCTGTTGGGATGTATGGGACCAATACAGGAAGCTGGCGGAGATGAGCAAAGTGGAAAACCCATCTGTGAGAAATAACCATCTTAACTTTCCTTCTCTTTTTTCCCTTTTCTTAACTGAACTTCTTAAAATATTATATATGCTAGAAGAAGCATTTAACTTTGAAGTAGGGTGGTGATAGAATTTATAAGTATATCATACAAATTAGTAGTTTAGTTATGTAATATTAGATGTATTATATGATTAGATATCTGGATATCTGCCGGAGCGGATGGCAGTTTGACTTTTCCGGATACTTCCAGATGCAGATGCGGCTTCATGGATGCAGACATTTATATTGCAATATCGGCTTGTGATACTATTTAAAGGGCATTTCCTACCTCTCCCATGCTGCTGCAGAACCTCGCAACACTTTGGGACATAAAGAAGCTGCTTCAGCATATTTCCTTTCCACAATCAAATGATCCAGATACCTCGACCCCACCTAATAAAATAGTTTACAAGTTATGATAAGATGATAATTTACGTACTAAATGAGGAAGTGTCTATGATAACAGTATAATACCTATTCACAGAATACTCATCGTTCTTAAAAAGTCTGTTTCTTTGTTACACTTTAGGCTGACTAGGAAAAATGGTAACACGTTCAGTAACTGCTATCATTACAGACTTCACATAAAAATGAGCATGAAAAAATGCTGGTTCTGTCTACTTCATCTCTGTTCTTTCTCAATTACAATCCCGGACCCCAACTTAATTTAGCTAATAATAACATGAGCTTTGACCTATATGCTTGTGACGGGAAGCAAGCCTCTCGAAAATAGTAAGATAAAGATTGTGACTACAAAATCAATAGAGGAATATAGCCATCCAGAAACAAGTTCAACCAATGGAACCCACAGGACAAGCTTTACCAGACAATTTAAATTGTAACAGTGAGAATTAACCCAATGGCTTAAAGAGACGCAAGCATATTCTTAGTTTCCCCAAAAGAGGATCAACCGATCAACATCTCCACAACCATCCTCATGGACTGTAAATCTTACAGCCCCACACAAAGCAACTCAGATCAGAAACTGATCGATCCAAGGCCTTGCTTAGTATTCAGCATAGACTTGAGATAAGAAATCACACAAACTAGAGAGAGAGAGAGAGAGAGAGAGAGAGAGAAAATTGGGCCAAGGATCTATCCTTTTAGAACAAGAAAGAGTAGATTTAGGCCTACCAAAAACCTAGATCAAAAATATATAAATGTGCTCTACACAAGCAGCTTAAGATACAACTTCACACGCTACACTAGAGAAGTAAACCGAAGCCATCCCAAATAAAAGAGGTAAATTACTATATGCTCCACACACGCTCGAGCTCAACCCATAAAATTTAAATTGAAGTCATTGAGACGAAAGGAAAAGAAATGCGAAAAGAGAAGCAGTCAAGGTTGGACAGTGAAGCCCAGACAAAGTTATCAAAAGGAATACATGGAATGAAGACAATCAAATGCTTCGGTTGACACAATTTACAGTTCGTGAACATGACCAGACCCACCAGAGTCAGCTGAAAAGATATTTATTTAGCCTCCACAATATAGGTTGAATTCAATGAAAGTTACAAAAGATACCTCATTAAGGAGCTCACTACGCCCCTGCCCAGCTTCAACAGCTGCCAAAGCTTTCTCATGCCATCCGTGTTGAAGAAGCCAATTAATATGATCCTCTGCATCCCTGGCAATGAGGAACATATTGTCAACTTGAACTGAAAACGTTACATGGTATACTTCATATGTGACAGAATAGTGGCAAAAAGAACTAGGCCAGAATAATATAGTTCTGCAGAATTGTTAATATTAAACTAAACATTATCTTTTAGAAGCACTTGAAATGTAGAACTCAATATGAATGCTAATCAATTTATAGTGTTGGATTAATTGGCTAATTTTTAGGGTTTCAGGAGCAAAGAAGAATAGATACCGGGCCATTACTCATGAACCTGCTCTTATGACAAAAGAACCTGAAGGGAATGAGGAAAAAGAACATACTTTCCTTTGTGCTTATGTGAATTCATTTCCACAAAATCAAAGAACTGATAATTACCTCGGTTTGGCAATAACTACATCTTTTGGTGATACAACATAGTATAATGGTTCATCACCAGCCGCCCATTGACCCCCTGCATAGCTGCTACCTACATCCAAATTTGTGAGTATCTTATGTTAAAAGAGAATAACCAGAGACAGGCATGAACATGTACCTGTGAAAGGAACATGAGCAAGAGAATAATCTTTTGCCTTGTAATGCTCAAAGCCGAGTACAGGTAAAGCATCTGTCGCAAGCTCGTCATTGTTCCAAGTCACTACATGCACTTCTGGTCTTTGAGCATTCCCCTGCTTAAAATAGATTCAGACATCTTAGCAATTTTGTCTGCCTATTTTCATCTTGGCAAAACCACACCACCACAGTATAGAACGTGGTCACTCTTTTCAAAGAAAAATGATATTTCTGAAGAAACAATTAGAAAAGTATATTGAGATCATGTTAAGAACTTTACAGACTGTTGACTGAGAAATCATGGGATGGAAGATATATATATCACAAGACAGAAGATAACCAGCAGAAACGGACAATATTTCTAATTGACGAAGTGCATTTAACACTATCGCCTGTATAATAATACAGTATTTAAAAATACTAGCATCTACATACATGTTATTATAGCAGTGAGTTTATCTGTGAAGAACCCTTGTAAGATGAGACAACCTACAATGAGAGGGACCCACAGCATAGTTCAATAAGTTCATTGAACTCTGAATTGCTATCTGGAATCAAAGCCTGCAGCTAAGAACTCTATAATTTAAATTTAACGTGATTACAGCAGGAAAATGCTATTCATTAACTTCTGAGTTTAGAGGTCAAACAGTATATCTATGCTATCGTTCTTCACACTTCATGTTTATTCCAACACTTTATGCTCGTCTTTAACCTCAATATGACAAGCACAACATGTTCAATTCATAGTCGGGGTCATCATATCCAGCTCAAGAGGTTTTTATCATTTCCCTTTCCATGTGTAGTTTATCCTCGATTTCTCCATTCACTTTTACAAAGCTGATCTTATAATTCCAAACAACTTGAAATAACATTAGTAATCTTCAATCCTCTCAATTGTACACCTTAAGTTGTTGGCATATTGAAGAGTAAAGAGATATCATGGCGGGTGGGTCAATCGAGCATTGTCTGTTTGCAGTCAAAATTTGTTCTTATATAGTGCTTATCTTTAGGGTGTCTTGAAATATATCTTGATGTTTTGATCCTAATGGCAACAAGATAACTTTATCTGCAAGGGAGATAGTACATGCCCAATCACCATCAGAGGAATCTTGTCCCAATGCGGTTGAAGTACCGTAGATAACCCACAGAACTAATGCTTCAAATACACCCATGTCACATTATCTGATGCCACTTGCACACTCTCCAAAGACCATAGAAAATTATCTAACTACTGGTCATCTAGCAATACTCCAAAATTCGAGGCATGATGCAGAAAGCACCCTGACAAGTAGTGTCTGCTTGGTGTTGGACTAACTACATCTGAATGGAACCAATAAATTCAACTTAGAGTTGATAACTGGACACCTGGCCTTTCTGCAATAGAGAGGGAGAGAGCACCTTAACTACATAAAGCCACACAATAGGTGAAAAAGTACCAGCATATGTTCCAGATGGACAACCCACCAAGGATTAAAAGAGGCACCTCACATCAGCAAATTAAGGCAGCTAAATGTCACCACTTGGGATGAGAATGATAGTGATTATTTTATGTTCTTCCTCCAAATAGTTAACTTGGGGTTTCCCTTGGCTGCCACTGGCCAACGGTTAATGTAGATTTGGCTTGCAAATATCCTCCCATGGACCAACAATTGACACCTATGCTCAGGGTAGAACATAATTTGCAGTGCCCCAATGCTCAAAAGTGAAATCCTTGATGCATGGGAATGGACCCCGACCCATCGGGGAACCCGGTCCACCCGCCCCAGTCGGGACGGAGATTCCGCGCTAAACCGGGTCCCGGGGACGAGGATCCCCTTTTTTTCAAAGCAGGGATGAGGCCGGGGACGAGTATCACACTCATCGCCCCGCCCCGTACCCATATGTTTATTATTTAATAAAAATTATTAGTTTATTTTATTAAATATCTAAAGTCTAAAATCTAAATCGGTAATCTTAATTTCTTATTTCCTTTTGAGTTGTTGGGTGGTTTTAGTTTTTAATTTAATTAGAAAATTTGTCCGTACATTAAGTTATTGACTTGTTCCATGTTTTCATTTAACCATTTTGTTGCTGCTGTTGTTCCCATGGGCTATGCCTTCATTTATTTTTTTAATTTAATTACAAATTTTGTAGTTGTTGACTTGTTCCCATGCATTCACGCAACAAGGGGCCATGCCTTCTTCTTTTGCTGTTTTACTTCAAAGTTTTGTCATGCCTTCTTCATTTATACGCACACACAAGATCATTAAGTTGATTTTAGTTCAAAGTTTTGTCAGCATAGCTTTTATTAGCAACATTTAATAGTTTAATAGTTATTTAAGCATAGTTTTTTGGTATTAAAAATCCCCGTTTCTCCGTTAGGGATCCTCATTCCCCGTTGGGGACGGGGATGGGGATGTGATCATATTCGGCATGGTCGGGATGGGGGTGGATATGGGGGATCAGGGACGAGGATGGGGATTGGGTCCCAGCCATTCCATGCCTCATCTAGATTATAAATTAAAACACATATATGTGTGTGACACGAATATTAAAGAATACAAAATTCCGTCATAAATTTGAAACTTTTCATCACAGGAGGCAATGCACCCAAAATCCTACATGCTTGAAAGAGATAATGATGCAACTAGGCAAATAACAAAGAATGAATACAAGGAATCAAGCCTGAAAATTGCAGCATGAGAAAAACAATTACCTGTCGTGATGGAACACTGCTGCTAAATTCTTTCTCTCCATCTTCTTCCCCCGGTATATAAGCTAGAACAACCAAAGAGTCACCAAAGGGAGCGACCCCTGATATGAAATAGCTGGTTTGAAAAGATGCCACAATATCAACTTGGTTCATGTTGGAGGTTGTAATTTGCCTATATGAGCCATTGACACCTCTGGCCTGATTAGTTTTTATTGATGCAATTTTTATAGTTGTTCCCCAGCCAATAACAAGGAGAGCATCATCCTGAATATCACAGAACAGAGTTTTAAGGTTGTGAATCTTCTGTGAGTAACCAACTTATTATGCAGCATGCACAAGTTAAATTGGAAATCTTTATGCTAATGTGCAGCCTGCAGTCTTTGAGGCTGTCAGACCAAACTGCAACAACAGCATAGATGATAGAACTGTGTCAAAGTGTGCATAGCGGTCGTTTCTTTACCTGCCAAACTAAGTGGGGAAGCAGAAGCTCAGGCCGTGGGCTTCCTCTGGGTCTCTCAATAAATGTAACACGTTGATCATTAGCAGCATCATAAACTTTTACTCCGGCATCATTAGCCCACGCAATTAGACTTGTTCTCCATTTCACTGCATGGATAGGACCTTCCCCAGAATGCAAAACCTATGCAAAAGGATGTATTTTGTTTTTTTGCCTTTAGAAGACAAGAAGGATGGCATGTGACCCTCGACCTTTCTCTAAAACACATGGGATAAAGTAATAAATGACAAAATGCACGACAAATTACCTGGTCCCGGTAGCCTAACCATTTTTTCACATTAAAATATAAATTTCCAGCCAAACCACCAGTAACAAATCTCCTAGATGCTTTCCGTGCGTAATCTGGATCTATTGCAATGGCCTTCATAGGGCGATGATAGTCAAATTTCTGAATCTCATCGGTGAAAAGACTGATAATCACAACAGACCCATCGTCTGAACAACTTCCAACAAATTCACCATCTATGTCAAAGCAAAGATCATTGACAGCAGCCGTATGAGCTCGAAATTCCTTAACCTGTCAAGGACATTAGATGCCTACTCCTTCAAACTTCAATAAGGTTACTCTTACTAGATAAGGCCATCTACATAGTTTATAGAGATTCAATAATAGTGAAAATAAAATATATGTGAACATTTACTAGCTTACAGGAAAAGAGAACAATCAAGGGAAGATGGATAGAGAACTTGCATAAATTAACCACATACTTTCTAGTGAGATATGGGCAATACATGCTACCAGTCTTGCCATCCAAATGACACAAAACTACTCAACCATCGCTAGCAACAATTATTTGATTCAGTAGAGTTATTGACGACCTAATGCCACAAACATACTTTAACTTTAACACACTTCATGAAGTGGTAATAGCAGGAGTTTCCATGATGAGCTCAAGCTTTGTGTGGAAGAAAACTACTAGTGTCCCCAATCATTTTGAGGTTTGCATATACGAATTTCTACAGAAGAATATGGCTTGTAATATGGGATATTTGCAATTAACATTGTTGCTTGGAGACCTATTATGATTAAAATGAAGAATCAAATCACTAATGTCAGTCGAGCCATACTAAAGTTCACTTCTTTCGAAGTCTGAATTGGCCATGTCCGTAGAAGACAAGAGGAACCTTGGTCCACGTTCAACTATCGAACTTATGGGTTGCACAATAATCCTCTACGCATTATCATCCATGTTCATGCATCCGAATGCTTTCAGACAATTGTGCAGCTTTAATGCTTAAGTGTTTGAATTTAAAATAACTTGTAAAGGGGTGCAGAAACAACTTAGGTCTCAATTCATTCATCCAAACTACACCAACCGAGAAGAAAGGTACCAAAGAAATAAAAGCAACGCAAGTATTACCACATAAGGATCCAGGAACCAGAAAACGACCTTTGTGAGCGACAATAATATTTGTATGATTCCCAATATTAAATAAAACCTTTCCCACAATAAATTTTCACCCAGATCCAAATGTCTACTAATAGAACACATCTTGGGAACCTAAAAACTCTATGGATGCGATCGTAACCTCACACAGCCTAGGATGGTAGAATAGAACGGTTTTTTATCAAATCAGCCTTGTATGATCAGTAATCATACCCTCTTCTTTATGTGACCTGAACCCACTAATAAAATCAAATCATGGGAAAAGCTTCCATCTAAATGACCCAATTCAAGTAGGCATACAAGTCGACTAGGACTCTTTACATTTGCGAATAGATGTGATATTTGTTCATTGCCTAATGAGAACGTGAACTCAATGAAGCAAATTGTTCTTTTACTAGAACAAGCAAAAGGAACGAGAACTCATCGAAGCAAATTGTTCTTTTACTAGACGAAGCAAAAGGCATCTAAAACTAGTAGTTCTTTAGATGGAACCCACACCACAACAAGCCGTATTAGTAGGCTAAAAAGAGAATGTCAGAAAACTACTGAATATTATAACAGCAGCTGAGCTTCAGATCTCGTAATCAAGCTACAAAAGGTTAAGTCAATCAACTAAATTTCCTAATTAACATACCGCGTAATTGAATTGCAAACCTATAAGAGCTCCGACAGTAAACACGTAAACAATACCCACAAATAACCGATTTGATCGGGTGAAACAAAACAAAAACAGAGCCACACTTTACCTGATTGCCAAGGAAATCAAGAATATGAACAGAACCACCATGTGTACCAAGAGCGATCATCCGTTCCGCAACGGCAACACAAGAAGCGGCGTCACTCGATATAAGAGAAGGCACGGTGCCTCCCATTCTCTGGTACTTAAGCCTCGGCTCATCTTCCTCCTCTTCTTCTTCTTCTTCATCCTTGTCCTCTTCTGTATCTTCTTCGCCTTCTTCCCTCTCGTCATCGCCTTCGGTTCCGTTCTCTGATGGCTTCGGAGACATTTTCGTAGCTGTAGAGAGAGAAAGATGAGAGAGAGAGATAGAAAGGGGTGATTGATTGACTATGGTGCGAGGTTTGGTTTATGTTCTCGCCAGGTGGGTGCTCGATTTTTCGCTTTTCTGAACCAAATTGGGGGAGTTTGTGTTTGGAGGGTTGCGAGTTTGGAGAGTGTCAGATCAGAAGGAAGAGAATCTGATATTATAAAAACGGACTTCTCTCTCTCCCTTTGTGTTGGGATCGACATTGTTCTCTTGGATAAATACACAAAAATGTATCTTAAATGGCAAATCTTGTCAAAAATATGTTGTCACAAGCAAATAAATTAAAGGTTTGTTTGTTTATTTTTTAATAGTTTTTATTAAAAGACATTTTTTGAATTGTTAAGAGATAAATTATATGTGACAAAAAAAAACTGTCAGATTCTAAAACTCTTTGAATGACTGTATCTTGAACCTCTTGTAACCATTCAGCACCCCTAATTCTATTGTAAATAACTGCGGAACAATTATATTTCATTTTGCATTGTATCATTCTGACTACTTAATCATTCTGCATCAAACCATTTGACAACTGTCAAACAATCCCTAAGGTTGAACTATTTAAATTAGTTGGTTATCTATTGCAATACAGTAGAAATTAAATTTTATAAGTTGAACTATTTTATCATTTAATCTACCGTCATGATATGATGGATTTTTTTTCCCGCCATCTTTAGTTGCCCAACGATGAATGCATGTTGTTGTTTTGATGCACTGTAACTTTTTTTAATTATCGGTGCGTTAAAATTAAGAATTGAAAAAGGAATAATATATCAATTTTTTGACCTTTAAATTTTGAGAACCCATACTTCATTGTATTTTCTTGCATAAATACCTAAAAATATAAAATTATTATATGTCGAGTCTTGTGAAAAATATGATACACGATAAAATGACCTAAATGTAATATAACGTTGTTAATAATGAATAGGATGACAGTTATTTTGTTATATTTTTCATTTAAATTAACATATTGATAATATATGTCATAATATTTTTTTTTTTTACAGTTAATTGTTTCAATAAATATTTACATCTAAGGAGTTATTTGACAGTTGATGAATAGTTTGATGCATAATGATTAAGAGACTCTCATGATATAGTACGAAATAAAATATAATTGTTCAATAATTGTTTACAATATAATTAAGGTGCTGAATGGTTAAGGGAGACCCAAGATACAAAATCATTCAAATAGTTTTAGAATCATTGAGAGACGTGCTTTTTTTTTGTCAAACAATATTCATCTTTTTAGCAATTCATAAATTATCTTTTAATAAAACTATTAAGAGGTAAACAAATAGCCCTTAAATATAATTATAAATTAAGTTTTAAAATAATAATATGAAAATTTGAAGACAATTCTTTTGTGCTTGTATCCCCATCATGTTTCTTGTTTAATTGTCATTAATCTTCTGCTTGATAATATGAAAGAGAGAAAAATTTATAAATTTAATATATGACCGTGTGAAGGCATTATAAGAAAAGAGATATTTAACTTTATATATTTACGTATATTCTTGTATATATAGGATTATTTTTAGAAGAAAATCAAAAAAAATAAAGAATACTCTGGTAATCGCTCATTTTGACGGTATGTATATGTGCATACAAGTAATTTTAAGCATTTTTGTCTAATATGCATATGTGCATAATACGCATACATGCATAAAACCAAAAAAACAGCTTCGGTTACTTGTATACACATATACATACCGTCAAAATGAATTGTTATCAGGATGTTCATCAATCTTTCATATATATTTTTTTTGGGTGGGGGTTCCCCCTAACCTCCCTATATGATTTATATAGAGAGAGTCAATGTGATGTTTAGAGGAAACTCCCCCAATTATAAAAAATTGAAGAAAAACTCTAATAATCATTCATTTGTATGGTATGCACATGTGTATACAAGTAATTAAAAATGTTTTATGGTTTCCATGCATGTTATACACATGTCTATATCAAACAAATTACTTATGCGCACATATACATACTGCACATATGAATTGTTACTAGGTGTTCCTCGTTTTTTTTAAATTGTTTTTCCCTGAATCTGATATGTATATATGTAACACCCAAATCACTTATAAGAAGCAATAAAAAAAAAAACTAAAACAAAGGAAATAAATTCAAGCAAAAGAAATAAAATTCTGGAACGTGAATTCTTGAAATTTACACTATAGGCAAAAGGCCATAGCAAGGCGTTACAAACGATTATCGAGACGATAAATAACAACCTACTAATCTAGAATTTTCTACAACTAGATTATAGACGGGTGTTTCTATCAATCTC